CGCACGATGGTCTTAGAAGGGTAAGATGCTGTAGAGAACGGCGTGATATTGGATTTGCTGTTGCATGTGACTGTTGGAGTAATGGTTTTGGGGGCCTTTGCCTATGGTAACCGATCACCCCATCTCTTCGTTCACCGCAATGTGACTGCTGCGCGTTGAAGATGTCCTACAAACTTTACTGCCGTATCTAGAGGGCCGTCCACACTTCCTTTTTCAGCAAGACAACGCACGTCTCCATACGTCGTACTATGAACTTTCTTCAAGAAGCCGTGGCCACCCCGTTCACTGGATTTAAATCCCATCGAACATGTGTGGGATATGATGGGGAGGAGAGAGTTCGAGTTGCTTGGAATGAGGTGCCATAGCCAGACATCATCTCATTTTGTCATTGCCTAGATGTATACAGGAGTGTATTCAGCTGCGGGGTCGCCTAACATATTAGTTTTGTTCTTATTACTTGTCAATCAAATTTCGTGAGAATGTTATCGTTTCATTGTTGATGTGAGACTACGTCATTGCCAAAATACTAAGTTGAAGAAATTATTTTTTGTGAGTGTAACACTTCTAATGTCATAGTATATTTATATGGTGTAAATAAGGAGACTTTTAGAACAAATAGTTGTACTAAGTATCAAAAATATTGTCATCTAATGAATAATTTCCTCTGTCGTAAGATGCACATATAATCATTAGATCTTTATTAATGCAGGAAGGACATTGTTGCAGACAAATCATTTCTGGGATCAGCAATATAAGATTTAATAATAATAATAGTAATAAAATAGTAATAAACGGTTTTTATTGCAAAGATAAGCACACAAAAAAATTACTGAGAATTTGAACAAATTCTATCTTCTTTCCTGACAAACGGTAGAATTCGGATCTTACTACCGTATAAGAAGATCCTCTCTTCAATTCAACCAAAAACTATAGCATGATTCAAACCACAATTTTGTATCGCGTGACAACTAGATTGTAGATCAAATTTTGATGCCATTGACGCTTATCGAAAAATGTCCAAATAACAGTCATTCTTGGAAATCTTCTGAACAACAAATAACTCTGTTGCCTATCTGAACCCGCTTATATTAAACATTTTTTCAAACCACTGCAAGATGCATATCTGAAATGTGTGTTGAAATACAACTCCTTCGTATACCACGATGTTGTCGTCAACTGACGTGGATACACTTTGCCAATGGAAAAATCATTATTTTACATGACGAAATGTATTGCACTTTGAGTAATTCTGAAATGAAGGGAAACGACGGATTTTGTACGTTCAACGTAGCAAAATGCCCTGACAATGTTAGATACAAACATAAAGCGAAATTTGCAGATAAAATCCTTGTCTTGCGAGCAATTTCTAACAAGGGTGTATCCTAGCCTTTTGTGGGAAGAGTGAGAGGTGAAGCTTTGAATAGTCAGAGCTAAATTGATAACTGCCTGTCTAAGTTGCTTCAGTTTGTCCACGAACACCATGCTAATGACCATATCATGTTTTGGCGAGACCTAGCATCATGCCATTACTCAAGAGATACTCAAAACTGGCTTCAACAACACAACATACCTTTTGTTCCCAAAAACGATAATCCTCCAAACTTGCCTCAGCCTCGCACAATAGAGGATTTTTGGGCTTTACTGTCTAGGAAGGTTTATCATGGAAGCTGGGAAGCGCAAGATAAAGAACAATTAAGACGGCGAATTTACGAAAAACTGAGAGAAATTGATCTGGATTCCGTCCAGGACCTCATGAGAGGCATTCGAAGAAAGTTGCGATAGTATAGTATTAAGTATTGGGTTTTAATTTATGATAACTAGTTAGTTTTTAAATAAATGTCTTCTTTAAATATTTTGTAGCAAAATCTTTAGGACATACGTTATTTTTACCCCCAACCAGAACGCTTTGAACACCATTTTTGGTCCTAGTTAGCAATGCCATAAATAAAAAACGTTTCACATGGTGTTTCAATTTGTTGCAAGGATATTTAGCACATTTTCTCAGGCGTTGATTTCGAACTAATCATGTACCACGGTACCTACTTACCATAGTAGCTGTACAAGATGCAAAAGACCATAATTCAACCGGATCATTGCAGAAAAATATCTATGGCGTTTCAGAGAAACCGGATAATGAAATACCTGTTAGAGCACCTGCAGAAGCACAGATCCAAAAAAATGTATCGAATTAGCGGTCATAGTAGATAGAAACCGCGTACAAGCCGACAGCGTACCTTAATTTGCCAGTAGAGGGAATTAGTTTTAAAAAAAGCTCGCCTGACACATCAGGCCGTTATTTCGCGAAATTATTACACCCGGTTTTATGCAATTACTGCAAATCTTGCACGTTTCCAAGCACACCATAGGCGGAGGTGGATTATTTTTGTACAAATATACATTAGACATGACATTACAAGTTGCACGAATGTATTGACGAAAAAGAGGTCCAAAAAAATGGTAAAATATACAGGGTGCGGCAGAGAGGACGGACGTTTTTGGGATGGGTAGTACTCTCCGCCTCCGTCTACGAGAGAGGTGGGGAGGGTGCCGTTTGACTCGTGAGATCCTAGCATTATTTTACCAGTTGTCGTTATGGAGCCTTGGATGGTGGAGCACCGCGTTTTCGCCTATGATTGTTTCGTCCGAAATAATGAGTCAGTCATCGTCGTACAGCGTGAGTTTCGTCGCCACTTCAACATTCATCGGAATAGAGCTGTTCCCTCTCGACACACCAACCTTCGTTGGGTTGAATCACTTCGCAGGCATGGTGAACTGATCAACAGAAGACCAAGAGGAGCGCCGCGAACATTTCGAACTCCTGAAAATGTTGAACGCGTTCGACAGGTCTTTCTTCGCAGTCCGACTCGATCTGCCCGGAAACATGCTGCTGCACTTCGCCTTAGTGATCGTTCGGTTAGGCGAATTTTGCATATGGATCTCCGCTTTCACCCCTACAAATTGGCCATTGTGCATCAGTTACAGGAGATTATGCACAACGAATGAACTTCGCACGTGAGATTCAACTTCTTTCTCCCTGAATTACGACGGCGACGTGTTCCAATCCGACGTGTGTGGTTCCAGCAGGATGGGGCGACCGCCCACACAGCCCGAGCACCCATGGACGTTATTCGCACTCTCTTCCCTGGTCACCTTATTTCCAGATTTGGCGATGTTCATTGGCCCCCCCGGTCCCCAGATTTATCCATATGCGATTTTTTCTTATGGGGACACCTCAAGGCTAGAGTATACGCGAAAAAGCCCGGAACTCTGGACAAATTGAAAGGCGAAATTCGCGTTGAAGTCGCCCAAGTTGAGAGAGCGATGTTGGAGAGAGTCTACGCGAACTTCCAAGAACGCCTCCAGCAAGGCATCAATGATTTCGGCCACCACATGCCTGATGTGATTTTCCACATTTGACTGTCTCAAATGCTATTTCCTTGTGAACCTGATTCCATCAATAAATTTGTTTTCGAGTAAAAATTAACTGTTTTATGATTTTTTTAAAACCGTCCACCCTCTCTGCCGCACCCTGTATAAGATTTAGAGAAGGTGTGTGTTCTACAGATTACAATGACCATAAGACAGGATATGAATTGGTATATAGTTACTGTCAGTAGTCCTCAAAATCGTATTTATTATATCATAAGAGTCATGTTGCAGTTGCCGTGATTTGTGGCTATGGTATGAAGAATATTTTCAACAACTATATGAAATTTGTACGAGTTGAAAGTTGGATAATAAGACTTCTGATTCCTTGACTAGCTTTTCTTTAGGATTTCGAACACTCTTTCCAATAGCATACAGGGAAAACCAAATTTGTCAGAAGGCTTTTAAGTTCAATGCGTACGAGAGAGAAGTGTGTATCAACACGTGCTAGAAAGAAATAGAAGCCGGCAACGGTGACGCTGAAGGTTGTGTAATCTGCCACGTTGCAAATATGTTATATCAGAGAATGTTAGCATAGGCTAGGTTACTGTCAAACCCAAGGAGGTCTGTTCGAAAATTCAATTCAGTATTTTGTTTTCATTTTGATTAGAATTATTTCAATTTCGATGCGACTGTGTTTCAATTTATTTTAGAATTATCTTTGATTTCCACCGATGGAACACATCCAGAGTTATTGTCACAATTTGCGACTGCAAGAGGTCAGAAAATGCAACAAATACCATTACGCAATATAAATTATTACTGCCTGCGTATACGCAGGTGAAAACCATTGCTGGACGACACTACCCAATGAGCGTTAGATAGGTACCAAGATCGCTCATCTATTATCATGGAGGTGGAAACCTTGCCTTGGAATGTACGAGATGCGGTGTTGCCAAGCGAACCATTAATGCAATGTTGCAGAATTTGTGGCTAGCCTGACTTTTCATTTCGCCCTAAAATGGAGCGCCGTGAGGACCGGTCCGGAATCGATCTCAAACAGATCAGACATGTACGTTCAAAATAAAACCATTATTTGGGTTTAGAGAATAAACTAACTCATATTTTCAACATGCAGACTGTCGCGTCAGCGTTGCTAGACAACGCAGTGATGGGTTTCGCTATCCAGCCGGCTTCTATCTCTGTCTAATATATGACTATACACACTTCTCTCTCGTACAGATTGCACTCAAGCCGTCCAACAAATTTGGTTATCAGTGTATAAAGTTAAAATTAGTAATCGTTAAAAATTTCCAAATGAAAATGGTCTTAGATTATTAATTTTTTAATACGATTACTGTTTTTGAACACTTTAATGAGAAGTGAATTACTTTTGAATAATGTCTTTCTTGTCTTTATTAACTGTGGTCAAAAATAAATGAAATATTTTCAGCCACTGTGACCACTGAGTAACACATTTTCATCCTGTCAGTATTCCTAGAATTTTTTTGGTATCAGTTGGCCGTTCAGGCTCATGAGATTTTCTAGCTTATATTCAAATGTGATCGTGGGGGTGGTGGTGGACGTTGGAATTGACCTTTAAGCATTTCAAATACGTTTATTTTTTGTTACAGGAGAAAATGGGGTATGACCCCTACTTACCAGGTGGATTATATCTAAAAAAGGTAGTTACATAGTTCTTTACTCCCTCACACCACACCTTACTAACATAATATTTTTTAGCGTATAGAGATCTAACAATTCAACATTGATCATTTAGCATTCGTAAACATAGTACTCACATGGAAATGTCTCATTAAACACACTGTTGTAATGTCGATAAAAACAAGTTTTAAATGAATCTCCTTGAATACTTTACCGGGAATTTATTCATCGAAAGCTTTAGTAAAGTGTATTCGTCTAAAAAATGGTGAATGCGCGTACAATAATTCTATAATGTTTTTCCCTCCTCCATATTTTGAACGGATCAAGTAACAAAAACGAAACTCGTGATGATGAAATTGAGACATAAGTGATGCAAAACCTATGTTTTAGTTGAGAAGTAACAATTTAATATTCCAAGTTTAACTAAGTTGAAAAAAATGATGTAAACTTTTGCTGACTAAACATTAAGGTACTTTCACGTAACATAAACTCTTTGGTGGCGGACTTACAGGTTCTGTAGCGGTTGTGGAAATAGAGCCACTTTCAACCAAGGCAAGATTGGGTGAACGAAAAAAGTGGATGTTTTTTGGATTGAAAGATTACCGCGCTCCAAAAAACTAAACCTATTCGACCTATTTTCCCAGTGGTTGGCGCTCCGTTTGACTGGTTTGAATGGGCTTTCGATGATATTTAAAAAAGGGGGGGACTCAATTATTTTTTGGACCTTGATACTAATTAGAGCACCGCCGCTGTATTTTTAAGGAGGAGACTATGCAAATGAGGCAGTGACCGCCATCATAGCACAAAGCCATCATAGTAGGTATCGCTATCGGCGGCCGGCGCTTGCTGCGATATCGACACGACGCCGACGGCACAACTACTTGGCCATACACACACGATCTTTCTCGAGGAAAATCTTATAGCATCCAAGAAACATGTGTTTCTGATAGTGACCATCGTTGTACGCCGTGATAGAACCAGAAGTGATTTTAGGCGTTTTTCCATCTGGAGAGGCGCGTAGTTGCTGACACAAAATTGCGTCGCGAGTCACGCCACGTCAACGAAACCAGTATTACCATTAACGAACCTAGCAAAGGATACGCTGTATTCCAGTGCCCAAAAAGGGATCTGAAGCATCATAGTGCCAGCAGCAAAATAAAAAAAAAAAGTTGTAAATTTTCTTTGAGACGACTTGGGCTTAGTTCAGATGACGCACGTCGACATGACGCGGGTTTGTTGGGTCGGTGTTCCGATGGCATGCGTACAAATTTGAGTGGAGCAAGGTAATCGAGCGTCAATTTATTATATTTAGTTAACGAGAATGGATGTGGATTATTTGCGCTTGGTTAACATACAGAAGAATGAAACGATGTAGAAGAGAAAAGCCATACTGGGTTCACCCGATATTAAGGAATACACTTTCAACAAGTTTATTACTCAAACACTATCCCAGCCTTCGAGGACAAAGCAGTACGTCAGCTTCCTGGGAAATTGTTCTGAGGTCCTGGAGATAAGCACATGGTTTCGTTATAGGTCCACGCTTTTTATAATATTCATAAATGACATAGCCCTCTGTAACTCTCAGAGTACTGTCCTGTATTCAGATTATACTACTACACTAGAGAGCGCTGATAACGATGACAGCAGCGGTGGCCGCAGTGGTAGGTAGATCAGTCGCCGTGCGCTGCGAGGGCTCGAATCCCGACCCAAGAGAAATTTTTCTCTTGGCTATGGATGTTGTGGTTGTCTGTAGGTGGTATACGGTCGCTAACTGACGTACGTGGAAGTACCAGTCGGCGGATCTCGCAGGCGGGGCCATAATGTGCACACACACGCAATTGGAGGCCCAGTCACCACGTGACCGCTAGATAGATAGATAGTGTATAGTTGCTATGCTATGCTTTCGTTCGTTGTCCGAGAGACCAAGCCTAGACCATGCTGATGAGCAGCCAGATAGCACGAAACATCTGCCTATGGCTGGTTGTGTTTGGTCGGACGGACAAAAGCACTATACTCGGGTACTAAAACGGAAGACAGAAGCATATCACATCGCGCGCCACTGTTTTCGACTTTGTTTCATTAATGTATGCGGATCCCACCGTATTCAAAAAGACAATGGCGTACGATGTGTTTTGATACTCTCTTCCGTTCCGGTATCAGACTATATCACAAACTGTTTCTTCTCTTGGACGTTTTCATAGCGGAAGAGCGTTTGTGTATGGCCAGCTATTCGCAACCGCTTGCGTTCCCGGTCCAGTTGGCCTTGCCTGCCGCTCTCACGCCGCGCCGCGCCGCGCCGCCGTTCGTTGACAGACGACATCAATCTTCGGCGGTTTTCGCGAATACGCGGACGGTCACGCTGCAGTGAAGTCGCTGCGTACGGCGGCAAGGCGATTGTATGTACCGATATCATAGTCCAAGAACATTAGGTTATAGCTATGGCACTTGTCGCCTATGTTGCGTAGTAATCATGGAGCATTTATACCAGGAGAACCGACGAAACGAAATAAATAAACACGATTTTATAGCTAACCGGACTAAGAACGAAAATAGTTTTTAATTACAAAGAGTTTATATTACAGTAGTAGATGGTCGATTTTCTAAACTATTATTCATTTTTTAGTTTTATTTATCAACTAGTTTTTTGTGGACTTGTGTTAGTGAAATGTCTTACGAATCATTCCATTTAAAGCTTCACTGTTGCATGGGGTTTTCCTGTTAACTTAGAGCAATCATCAAAGAGTAAGTCCAAAACTGCACGCATGCGCAGATCGCGCGCTAGCTCTATCTCTTTTACTCCCCACAGATGATAAAAGAATTTATCAATCCTGGCGGTCCTAATAGTGATAATGGAGAATTGTTATCAAATTATTGTATTGTCATCGGTCCTTGATACGTGTGCGAAGTTTCTAATTAATCAAACTTCTGGAAATTGCTGAAAATTATGCCCAAAGATTCCGTTACATTACAGGCCAAGCTTATAAAAACCCCTACGCTTGACGACTGACTAGCTACTGCGCATGCGCAGGGTATCTGAGATTATAGATCGATAGGAGATCCGTACGCTCCAATCTGCTGGCTGGGGAGGACAAGGCAAGCTATTTGTTTCACGCGAAAAAATTAATCAACTCTATTTGACAATGAAGTCTGAAAGAGCCAGCCGCATGTCAACCATTATCGAATGACGGTAGCGAGCCTAGTTTACTTCCCTTTCTCTCACATGGCCATACACCCCACCTGATAGAGAGTTGTTGGACTAGCCGGAAGTGGTATTATGTAAAAAACCTAAGAAACATCAAAAAACGAATAAACGTCATCTTGCAGACTAGGTAATTTTTTGTGTGCAAATAGTTCATTCCACGTTTCCTCGCTATGATCGCTGTGAGCGCCATTAAAAGCGTCCATCTCTGGAGGAATGATTTAACGACACGACATGCATTGTTGGTTGCAGAAAGCCTAGTAATCTGTTGTGTTTATCTCTGAAGAAGATGTGAAAGAAAGACGGTTGAGTAGCATGATCGCAATTGAATATGCTACTAAGTATATCCATTAGTTGTGCCCGATTGGTTATTTATATGTTGCCCTTTCTGGAGAGGGGTTGGCCAATAGTTACAACTTTTTACGTTTAAATCACATTTTACCTGTAATATACATCACTTACCAGGGATTTTCTTTACTTATCTCTCACATTTTTGAAATTCAGCAAATTTGCATATTAGTCTAAACATATTAGCAAATTTCCCCGAAATAATTGTGAAGTCTGGTTTAGTTGGTGTAAATTGTTCAAGGGGGTATTTAAAACATGGACGCATAAAATAGGTACACCAATTTTAGTGGGAAAACTTTTTATTTGACAACAAATAATGAGACATTGTGTTTTTTGGGATTCAATCGAAAGTGTTGATAGGAACGAAAAAACTATTCATATAAGATTTTTAGGCATTTATGAGACCTACAAAATGAGACCACACGTAAAAAAATCCGACTGATGGCACTTGTTGGTAATGAGACGATAATTACACGCAACTACTTGAAATTCTTCAAATCCATAGGATTCATACTTCTAAATAACACAACAAAATTGGAGTATATTTCATGTAGTTTTATGAGAACTTCAAATTTCTTATCCAAAAATACCTGTTTTCCGGCCATCACTACTGGTTTATTGAGAAATATAGGTATATCGTTCGTTCAAAGAGCATTTAATAGCAAAATTCACGTGTTTACCTTGCCGATATGAATAACAAACCATTCCGAAAGATAAATGTGATTTTTATGCGAAAAACAAAGGTTAGGTTTTTTCTTCTAAACAAATTCAAACATTTCCTATTTGTGAGTAATTGAACAAATGCGCTACGATATTCGAAAAACAAACGTTACTGGACACATTTTAAAACAAAGCCGATGTGTCTATCATTTTTTGTTGCGTATTCCTCACGAGAACGAAATGTTTGAACTTGTTTAAAGGGAAAAAAGAAAACCACCCTTTTTTGAATAAAAATAACATTTATGTTCCGGAACGGTTTGCGATTCACATCGGCAAGGTAAACTAGTGGATTTTGCTATAAAATGCCCTTTGAACTGACCCTATGTATTGCTCAATAAACTAGTAGTGATGGACGGAAAATAGGTGTTTTGGTATAAACAATCAGAAATTCTCAAAAACTACTTGACCAATCTACTCCAATTATGTTGTCATTTAGAAGAACGAATTCTATGAATTTGAATAATTTCAAATATCTGCGAGAAACCATCGTCGCAACACCAACAATTGCCTAAACCTGCAGTTTTCCTCGGTTTTCGGCCATGACTGTTTTGCTATTAGTCGGATCTTTTTACGTATGGTCTCATTTTGTAGGTCTCATAAATACCTAAAAATCTTATATGAAGAGTTTTTTTGTTCCTGTCAACACTGTAGAATAAAAAGTTTTCCCACAAAAATTGGTGTACCCATTTTATGCGTCCATGTTTTGAACAACTTGCAGCAATAAGACCAGACTTTAAAATTATTTCGCAAAAC